TGCCTTTGTTTAGGAGCTTGTTTCAATCCATGCAAGGACTTAACTAGTTTACAAACCTTTTGTTTATGTTTAGGAAAGACGAACCCTTCGGGGTTGTTTCATGTATATCTCATCTTCTAACTCGCCATTTAGAAAAGCCATTTTTACATCCATTTGATGAATCTCAAGGTTATGTAATGCCATAATCACGATTGACAACCTTATCGAAGTGATTCTAGTCGCGGGTGAGTAGGTATCAAAGAATTCAAGTCCTTTCTTTTGTCTATATCTCTAGCAACCAATCCATCCTTATATTTGTCAATAAACCCATCCGATTTTAGTTTCCTTCTAAAAATCCATTTACACCCTAAAGGCTTATTTCTGGGAGGTAAATCAACCAACTACCGAGTATGGCTTTACATTATAGAAACTATCTCACTATTAATAGCTTTTTTCCAATGCAATGCTTCCGGTGTAGACATTGCTACTTCAAAAGTCTTTGGATCATTTTCTACCATATATGTTAGAAAATTTGGGCTAAACAAAGTAGATATTCTAGCCCTTTTACTATGACATGGTCTTCCTCATTTGAAATGCAATTTGTTGTATCATAAGTTCTTTTATTTGAACTTGTATTTTCCTTGTCTTTACATGTAAAACAATTCTCGAAAAATGATGTATTTCTCGATTAAATTATGGTTCCTTCATGTACATCTTGAATTTAGATTTATGTACAAGGAAATGATATGATCTATTATTATTAGCGTATCCAATAAATATGCAATCAATCATTTTATGGCCGATTCTCACTTTTTTAGGCTTAGGTACTTCAACTTTAGCCAAACACTCCCAAAGTGTTGGTAGGAAGGAGGATGACATTTCAATAGTTCTTATGGAGTTTTTTTTTTTTCTTTAGGGGTATCTTGTTAAGAATGCTATTTGTTGAAAAAATAGCTTCCTCCCACAAGTTTTAGGGTAGACCCAAACTTATCAATATTGCGTTCATCATCTCTCTAAGAGTTCAATTTTTGCATTCAGCAACATCATTCGATTGAGATGAATAAGGTGTCGTTGTTTGATAAATGATTCTATGCTTAGAACAATATTCTTCAAACGATGTCCTACATTCACCACCTCTATTACTACGAATATTTTTTATTCGTTTACCAAGTTGATTCTCAACTTCCATCTTATAATGTTTGAATACATCTTTGGCTTCATCTTTATTTCGTAGTAGAAAGACATAGGAAAACTTTGTACAATTATTAATGAAAGTTATAAAATATTTCTTACCACCTTTAGTTTGAATGACTTTCAAATCACATATATCGTTATGTATTAACTCTAAAGGTGTTGTGTTCCTTTGAACTAAGTGAAAATGTGTTTTGGCCAACTTTGCTTCAACACATACTTCACATTTTTATTAGAATCAATTTTAAGCGTCGGAATTAAACTTTAATTCATAAGTTTGCCCATAAATTTGTAATTAACGTGTCCAAATCAACTATACCATAAACAAGACAACTCAAGTATATAAACAAAATTGAAATTTTTATTCATAATGTTTTTTGGCACAATTGTAAGGACGTTCATTTTGAACATTTCTTCACTTAGATAACTATTATCAACATAAATATCATTTTCGTATGTACGAACATGTCCGACACAAATACAAGTTTAAAGCCCTTCTTACTAAGTAGAGATCCCGAAACCAAGTTCTTGTGAATGTTTGACGTATGGAGGACATTATTGAGGACTAGTTTTTCCCGGAAGTCATTTTAAACGTGATCTTTCCAAGTCCCTCTACCTTTCTTCAAACTTGTAAAGTTCCTCATGAACAGTTGTTTTACTTGCACCAGTGTCGACCTACTAATCCCTTGGATTACCAATCGTTTTGCATTAAAAAACAAACGTAGATGAACTCATATCTTGAACCCCTTCAGAAAGAGCGTCTCTTTCAACTACATTTGTTTGTGCAGTCTTCTTCGACTTTCGACATTCTTTTGAACGATATTCGATTTTCTGCAATTGTAGCAGTTGCCTTTAAACTTCTTGGCATTCTTGGAGTTATCTATTCTTGGTGCATTACCTAAGATCTTAGCTTCTTGTTGACAACTTTCGAACTTATTTCAACAAAATTTGCTCTAAGTTGAACAATAGATTTTCTTTCGGTGTTTTTATGGTCTTCCTTGTTCCTCAAATGAACTACCAATTCCTCCAAGTTCATCTCCTTTTGTTTGTACTTGAGATAATTCTTGAAATCTCTCCACATAGGAGGGAGTTTCTCAATAAAGGCCGCAACTTGGAATGATTAACTCAATTCCATCTTTTCTGCATAGATGTCAAGAAGTAGAACTTGAAGTTCTTGTACTTGACTTATCACGGTTTTGGAGTCTACTATTTTGTAGTCCGAAAACTTGCAGACAATGAACTTCTTTATTATGGCATCCTCGGTCTTATACTTTTTCTCCAATGAATCTCATAGATTCTTGGCCGAGTCCATCAAACTATACACTCCATAAAGTGTATTGTCCAATCCATTTATGATGTAATTTTTGCAAAGAAAATTCAAGTGCTTCCATGTGTCTAATGCAATAATCGACTCATGATTATTTTCCCCTTCTTCTACCACATGAGAGGTCTCTTTTAAGAACTTTACCATCTTTTGAAATCCACACCTCCAAACTTTTTTTATTTTTCCCCATCTGGTATATTAGAGTTTGGTATTTGTATAGCCAAAGGTGGAACCACATGGTTCGTATCATTCGTTGTTTGACTTAAAGTAGTCTCAACGATAGTCATTTCTGTTACAAACAGAAGTTCAACACACGAAATAAAAGAAAGGAATATCACACGAAGACTTATTCCTATGATGAAGAGAAGTAATTTGTTTTCAACAAACAACCACAAAGATTGTCGTAAGATTATTGGTGAATTTGTGTAATGAAATGTTTGTTTGTTTAATTGGCAAAGTAATAGTTAAGTTTAATTCGTAGGAGAGTAATTAAATTTTATGTAAAAAGAAATGAAAATAAAGAAAGGAGATGAAAAGAACGTGAAGGAAATGAAATCCGAGGCAAGTGATTAACACTTTCTCCTTAAAACAAAATTGCCCCGCAATTGTGTTAACGGATTACAACACTTATCTCCCGAGATACAACTGATACAACTTGTGGTAGAAGTATTTCAAACCACAAACAACAACGAACTCGAACAATTTTTCTTCTCTCTACAAGAAAATAATTTTGGAATGATTTTTTTGGAGTTTTTGCAAAAGATTTTGATATAATGGTCAATACAAATGATATGTGGGGTCCTGCTTATAGAAAATGAGAGGCTGTAAGTGAAAAGTCACGTCCCAAAACTCAATAACCTTCACGAAGGGAAGTATCCTTGCTTCGCCCACCTATTGCTAGCTTCTTGCTCGAGCAACAATGGCACCTGTTTAATAGACACTTTTCGTCCACCTGTCGCTCGAGCAGATGTGCTATATGATATTTTCCCCCTTTTCTCCTCATTTTTATTTTAACTTTGGACCGCAATTTCTCATTCATTCGTAATTGATTTTGAGATTCCAAATATACTACAACGATTTACTCGACGAGTAGAACAAGTTAGTCTATTTATTTTTGTAATTTGATTATCATATCAAATTCGAATATTTGGTCGAAGTTAACACAAAGTCACTTTTCAAGTTTTAGTGTGTGTTTGGTAGGGATTTTTTGGGGGAAGAATTGATTTTGAATAGTGATATGATGGGAAATGTGTGGTTGAAAAAGAAAATAAGATTATTGATGTGATAGAAAATATTATTTTATTGAAAAATGTGTGGTTGAAAATGAGAATTGATTTACTGTTGAAAATGAGAATTGGTACCAAACATAGCCTTATAGTTGACCCAAATTTTACAATCTTCAAACCAAATTCCAACAATTATGAGGACGACTTGTGTAAGGAAAGTCCATGGTATTCTGTTGCTAGTCTACTGTTCAATGCAGGAGCACATGAGTGTTGAATCTGAGCAAATCTGGTTCTGATCTTAATTTCAAACACAGGGTTGTGAGGTTCTGAACTAGTTTCTAGGTTTGGTTTATGTATTCTGCCTATTTCGTGACTCTGCACAGGGTTATGCCTCCAAGCTATTTTCATAGTATTTACTACAAAATGAGTCGAGAATGCATAGTGATTTAGATAATGTATTTTGTTATTTTCTGATGTTACAAATCTTACATAAAATGGATTTTTCGACATCTAGCGGTGTAGCCATCGAAAGACAAGATAACAAGCACATGAAATAAACAACCTTCCATGAATTATTGCACATCAGCTTTTCCAGTTACTTTTCCTGTTACTTGTAATCAATGCAAAGTTGCAAACAATATGATTGTCTCACCCCCATTTTGATAAACTTTCACATGCCTTAGCCAAAAGGCATTCCATTAGTATGTGACGATTAACATTACATTTTACTTGTGGGCCAAATTAATTTAACTGTTGAATATTAGGATGATTGTGAAAAATTAAACTGGTCTTACCCCTGACCATGTATACGATTTGGTTGGGTCTCATTAATTTCATGATGAATCCACTTATTGACTAGTTTGGTAATGTGGACTTTATGATGCAAATTTAATGAAAATCGTGTCCATTGTCTGTTGCATATGAAATAGGTTTGGAATGCTGCACTAGACATGATAGTCAACAAATATCACACCCCTCTTCATGTGCTCGATGATATCTAATCCAAGGTACTAGAAATGCTTCGAAGTCTTAAAGATCAAATCTTCCTTCCCCGATCTCGAGCCCTGTGGAAACAAAGATACGGAAGAGAGAAACAACGAAAATCTAATCTCATGTCCAAGAAAGAACAAACTCTATGACTACCATAAAAAGTAAAAAAGGAACTGGGGGTTGATATTGACATAAAACATTTTGCAGGCACAATTACATAAAGTTTCACTTTGATTCAAATGACCTCCATTAATTTTATGTCATGGAAACAGAGAGAGAGAGAGAGAGAGTTAAAGAAATGGAAGATGGCCAAATTGATTGAAGGAAAATGAATTCTGGTTGAAGGTCTCCACCATACCACTAACAGGATTATCATGAATCCAAGGGGCCATATTCTCATGCTCATTCAAAAATGAAGTGCGCTGATTAACACAGAATGCAAGGCGAGCACGAGCAAGAATCAGATCATGCTCTAATTCAACCATCTTCTTCTCCAGAGAAGCTATAGCCCCAATGCAACCATAAATGGGATCTCTCAGCCTTACCTCAGCCTCGTAAACAAGCGAATTCACCGTATCCTCACGTTGCTCGTCTGCCACTTCATTAAGGATCTTGCTAATGTTGCTGGCTCCAAACACCTTGTGTACTTTGGCAAACTTCTTTGGCTCATCCTTTCGAAAATAAGGAGCAAATTGGCAATTCGGGGTGCATCTTCTCTTTAAGGCCTTGCAGGCTGCACAAGAGGATCTTGAACGAGGTTCTTGACTCTTCATAACTTTTTCTGAACACGTGTACTTTAAATGTTGCTTCTTCATATTTATAGCCTAACTTATCATACTATGATTTAAGAATTTTTTACTTTAATTTTTTGGATTTAGTGAAATTTTATGTCGCTTTCTCAACGGTAACCTGAGACTTGTTATTTCGGTCATGTTATTATTGTCAAGGGTACATGTACAAGACTTTCATGTGCTAATCGAGTTCCATCCCACGTTCTATTTTTCCCCTTCTTTTTGTTTTATTTTTGGTGTTAAATAGCATTCGGAACAGAAAAAATAAGAAAGAAAATAGATGAAAGAAAAAAACAGCTGTCTACAAACTACAACGATCCATTTTTGACTGAAGCAAGCATCAAGATCTTGGAACATAACAATCAATGAGTTGATTGAGACATGATTTTGCTCAGAACTTTGACGAACCGTGTGACTATAAGAAGATACTGGATAAAAATGTAATTTTCATGATACTTTATGTGAATTACATTCTACTCATAGAAAATGATGTGGAAGCATTATCGTCTACGAAAACGTAGTTGGTCTAATAATTTCATGGGAATGATTTATGTGAATCTAGTTATATTCTAGGCATTCAGATCTTAAACGGTCAAAAGAACAAGTTAATAACTTTGTCCCAATTTTCATATATTGACAAGATACTTGTCAGGATTTATTTTCAAGATTCCAAGAACGGTAATTTGCCTTTCGACGTGTATTCTAACTCTCTAAGGAGTAATCCCCTAAATCTCCGATAAAGATAGATCGCATCAGTAGAATCCTTTATGCATTGGCAATAGATAGTCTCATCTATGCTATGTTGTGCACTAGACATGGCATTTGTTTTACTCGTTGGTATGGTACGTCGTTGTCAATCTAATCTTGGATCAAAACATTGGTGAGTGTAAAACATATCTTTAATTTCGAATAACAAGTAACTATATGCTAGTTTACTTTTCACTAGAACTTAATAAAGACTCTCGCAAGTCTACGTCGGGATCGTTGTTTACACTTAGTGGTGGGCAATCATGCGTTGTCAATTTAACCATGGAGGTTGAGTATGTAGCATCTTAAGAATTTCTAGCAGACATTGAGGTGGTGTCTACATTTGGACAGTCCATGACATTGTACTTTGATAATAGCGGTGTAATGGCAAATGCTAAACAATCAAAGAGTTATCAAATGAGTAAACACATAGAATGGAAATATTATTACTTAACAGAGATGGTGTGGAAATGTGGTTGTCAATAAGATTTCTACTCGGGACAATCTCGCACACCTGTTTATGAAAATCTATCGGCTAAGGTTTTTGAGGAATATCTGAAAGACATGGGATTGCAAGCAGGGGCGGACGCAGACAAATAAAGTTAGAGGGGGCACAATCGAACTTACAAAAAAGTTGGGAGAAATTTTACAATCGAAAATTTACATCCAAAAAAATCATACCTCATGTAATTTTGCATCCGAAAATTTACATAGAATATGACTTTTTCGGATGCAAAATTTTGAAAATTNCCATGTAATTTTACATCCAAAAATTTACATGGGATATGACTTTTTCGGATGTAAAATTTCGAAATTTCCTAATAAAATGATGAAAATTATATTGAGAAATTTGTATCGCAAAAATAATAAATGTTAATGATATAATTAATTTTTTTTAAAAAATGTGAGTTAGACGCTTCTTTTTAAGACGTACGTTTGATGCATCTTTAACTATTTTCGATATCTATTTGAACTATTTGATATGCCTATAATGTAGCCCTCAAAACGAGCTTTGAGATGATATAAGCGATTTGTAGATTCGACTACTGTACGATCATCAAAGAATTTTTAAAGTTAGCATGTTATCGAAATTCTCGAAATGCTAATTTTAAGCCGTTTACTTTGACAAGTAGTAACATTTGCTACAATTGGTCGTTTCACACGTTGTTAACGACATAAAAAACTAGATTGTGAGCACTTCAAAATGGTATTAAAAATGTAATATTTCGACTTCGTTTGACTTCCCGTAATAATCCCGCAATATGGAAACANATTTACACAATGATTTTGACAATGTGTGAGGTGTATAGATCATTGTCATTAAATTCAAAAACAATCTTTCAAATCAATGGACATAATGTTTGCAAACTCACACATTGTCAAACTTATTGTCAAATTCATTGTACAAGTAGCATGATTCTTATTTAATATTGAGCATAAGAATAAAAATGTAAATGATTACTTGTGAGAATATAAGTTGGGTGCTTACATTGAGAAGCACAGTGTAATACAACTTTTAGTTTGATTATGAATACAATTGTTCACAACCAATGGATGATGGTTGACACTTGTATTTGGAAGGTTGTAGTGTTGATTATTTCACCATTTGGGTATACGATTTGTCCTTATCACATAAATTGTTTAATGTTGACACTAGTACACTTAGATTATATTGAACGGATCATATGTGTGGTATTTAATTCTATAGTATAATCAAGCAGAGAATTAAGTTCCACTTAATCTTCGTCTATTTCTTTTAAATTCCTTAACATGTTTGTGTATATCTTTTTGTGACTTTAATGGTTCTTTTATATATATATATGTTAGATTTAGTGGTCCAAGTTCGACTAGACATGATCTAATTATCAAAATTTGGAAAGTATATTTCTGAAATGGTCCATGTGGTAAATTTATAAAGTCTTGGACTCAACTGCAATTAATGATGAAATGTTTTGCACTTAATTATACTTGTAATGAAAGTTCAAGGACTACACTTGCCAATAAATCAACTATGACCTAATTAGACTTGGACTTGAATTTGGATTGAATCACTTTTTTGTCTATATACAGGTTAAAGTGGCGACTAAGGAGAGAGAATAAAGCCTTGGCGGCGTTTTCTTAGCTTTAAAGAAAAGAGAAAAAATATTTTCTTGATTTTCTTGGTCCATCTAAAAAAGTATTCACAAATCAGTGTAGTATATACTTTGGAGGATAATATAGAATACTCGGAAGGAATTTCATCCAAACCATATTACGAATGAAGATAACAAAGAGCATGGGAGATTGGAAAAAAAAGTACATATGATAAAGAACACTTGTGTACAAGAACTCCTTCGTAAATTTGAAGAAGAAAAGAAGAATTCTTTTGTAATAAAAAATGGCATCAATACTCCTTAACAATGAAATCACTGAGTAGCGGACTTTGATACCGATAGATCACAAAACTAACTAAAAAATGAATTTGTGAGTGGGGGAAAAAAATAAATATAAAGTGTCATCAAGTCAGAACTTAGAGAAAAAATTACACAAAAAGAAGTCAACCTCACAGAATTAAAGAGCGACCTCAAACACTCCAAAAGAGGATCTGGTTGACCATGGAAAGCCCCAAGAATGGTCAAAACTCAACCAGCCCTCCATAAGGGCTGGTCGAAGATTACAACCCGCATATGGGGTGGTCGAGGACCAGTGATATTGCCCGTTGAGGACCTGGAATATGCTGATCAAACTCTACAAGCATAGTCATGAGGGGGCTTGTCGAGTGGCCAGCCCATAGGGTAGATACATGTCATAAACGTTTTCTAAGTCCTCTCCATATTTCTAGAAACGGATAAAGATATCTACACTTCATCCTAACTCTAACGGTCACAATTAAAGACACATAGATGAACATTCTTGTGTCATGTCATCAATGCAAACGTTTATATACAGGAATTGTGGGTGAAGATGTTTTCTCTCTAATTCATTCTCTACATTTTAGCTCATATATTTACAATATTTATCCCTAAAATATTTATTGATTCTTATATCGGTAGGAGAACTGAATAGAGATTCCTCTTTCGGGTCATCGAAGCGTTGGTGAATCACTTCCTACTACCTCATTTTTCATTGGTAACATTACATTTTATGAAACCCCAAGCAAAAGACAAAAGAGAACAACGCTATGTTTGAACTACTGTCCCTTAAGTTTAAGAATTGAAAATTTCTAGTAAATCAATTAAAAATTTAGTAAAAGTATTTCTAATCTTAGTCAATTTTCGTAGTAATGGGGTCGGATGGGAAATAGTGAAAGATGTTAACTCTAAATCGGGTATGAACATGAGAAGATATTTCAACAGCTAAGTAGACAATACAATCAATTGTGGGTCCAAGAGAATAACAATGGGACCTCAGTAGGTGAGATACTTCAAGACAAGAAATCGTTAGAGAAACTTGGATTATATCGACAACAAGGAAATCTAAAAGCCTATACAGACGTGAAATGGAATTACATTTTATTTATTTGATCTTTTTTTAGGTTATTATGACAATTGACCATGTTAGTCACTTGTTACCTAAACAATTTAAATATTAGTTCAATCCAACTAGTTTATTCTCAATTAACCCTGAAATTTGACTTATTTTATAATTGATTTATAATAAATTTCAGAATATACGCGTTTTAATTAAGTGAACAAGAATATAACTTGATCGACTTTAAAGAAATTTTTATTAACTTAATCTATATTTGTTTTCTCAAGGTAATTTTTAGATTAATGAAAAGTAAATCAAAAGAGACCCTATTTATCATTAAAATTAAAGAGAAAATTTTGCAAAATCTCGACATTGAAAGATGAAACCCATTTGATTATAAGTGCTTACAATACAAATTTATGATCAACAAATCTTACTTACATAATTATAATTTTCGCTTCCTAAACTACTAGCTTTGATGTCCGAAAAGGAGCAAGAAGAGAAATAGTTATTTGAGAGGGAAATAGTTATTTGAGAGGAGATCCCGTAGTCACCTAGATAAGTATACTTCCTAGATGGAGCTGCAAGGAGTATGTGATGACATTATGTGTCGTGCCTTTCCATAAACATTAGGAGATAAAGCTCAAAAATGGTTCAGGAGGCTACATCAGAGGTCTATAAAAAATTGGAATGATCCCACTATAGCTTTTCTAGCCCAGTTCATGGGTTTCAAAGCTAGAACCACACCCAAAGAACGTTTGGTGAGCATTAAGCAAGGGAAAAAT